TTTACTAATGTTTTCCGTTTGTACTTCATGCCACTGTTGTTGACTTTCCTGTAGTTGCTGCTGACTTTCTTCCTGTTTCCTTTCTTTTTCCTCCAACAACTGCTGTAATTTCTCTTCTTGTTTCTTTTCTCGTTCTTCTTGTTTCTTTTCTTTTTCCTCTAACAACTGTTGTAATTTCTCTTCTCATTCTTCTTGTTTCTTTTCTTTTTCCTCTAACAACTGTTGTATTTCTCTTCTCGTTCTTCTTGTTTCTTTTCTTGTTCTTGTATTGCTGCCATTAAGTCTGCTAGGCTGTAGTTTGATTTGCCGCTTCTCGTTTCCAGTAACAAACTGTTGTCAGAGAGTGGGATAAAAAAAGCCTCCAGTCGTTAGTTAATTTCCCGTAAATTCGTTCCAACGAAACTTTAGCGACACAAGTCCTTTCTTAAATAAAACTGGTTTATTCTTTCCGAATACAACTTTACGATACACTTAATTTCAACAGTCGCTCTATAACAACATTATAATTCACGTCTTACGAGGCCAACAATATTTCGTCCGCATACATTCAATTACTCATTACACTGTTGTCCCGTCACGTTGTAACCATCTTATATATACCAGACTACCCCCAATCTAGTAAATGCTAGGGCATTCACGAAGGAACAGGATATTTCTAGAAAACGTGGCGTGTCATGAGATTCTAGATGCTAGGCGCCCTCTATTCTTATATATAAGTGCGCCAGATAAAGCGAGACAATTAATCGGAATTGAATTGCGGACAGTTGAGTCAAGTGCGGTAGTGATATAAGTAAAGTGCGTGAATCGTTGTGAATTATAGCGTGTGTTTAAGTTAAAGAGACTGTGGAAATTAAGTGTATTGCAGAGTTGAATTGAAAAAGAATAAACTAGTTTTATTTAAGAAAAGACTTGTATCGCTGAAGTTTCTCGGAAAGAATTTCTACAAAAAAATTAACAAACGACCAGAGACGTAACAATATGATGCTTCACTAGGATCATTCTGCGTTCAATAAATATTTAAGATATGATTTCAAAAACCTAGGTAGTATACATGATATTTTATAATATTTCACTAGGGTCATTATGAGTTCACTAAAAGCTAAGCTATGATTTTTTCAATAAGCAGGTAGTCTCCAACACAATAAGCCGTCCTCTAACTTGGCAGTTGCTTAATAAAGAAAATTAGATCTTATTTATAATGAAAATTATTGGAAAGTCAGTGTCTGTCGCATCAAAGAAAACTGTGATGTTAAGAACACCAACCACAGTAGTGCTGTCAGCCAATGTTTGAAAATGTGTCACATCAGTGAACGTTGTAATGTTAAGTCAATGTTTGAAATTGTGTCACATCAGTAAACGTTGTGATGTTAAGCCAATGTTTGAAAGTGTGTCACATCAGCGAACGTTGTAATGTTAAGCCAATGTTTGAAAGTGTGTCACATCAGTGAACGTTGTGATGTTAGGTCAATGTTTGAAAGTGTGTCACATTACTGAAAGTTGTGATGTTAAGCCAATGTTTGAAAGTGTGTCACATCAGTGAACGTTTTGATGTTAAGCCAATGTTTGAAAGTATGTCACATCAATGAACGTTGTGATGTTATGCGAATGTTTGAAAGTGTGTCACATCAGTGAAAATTGTGATGTTAGGTCAATGTTTGAAAGTGTGTCACATCAGTGAACGTTGTGATGTTAGGTCAATGTTTGAAAGTGTGTCACATCAGTGAACGTTGTAATGTTAAGCCAATGTTTGAAAGTGTGTCACATCAGTGAACGTTGTAATGTTAAGCCAATTTTTGAAAGTGTGTCACATCAATGAACGTTGCGATGTTAGGTCAATGTTTGAAAGGAAGAGGCGTTACGTCCGCTTTGATTTTTTTTTCCTGGACGCCATGCAAGTAAATAAAAATTGAAAACATTCCTCACTCAGAAAATGAGTGTACTACTACTGAACTGGAAATTCGAAGTCGATTAAAAAGTGGGATTTATTTTAATCAG